GTCCTACCAAACTGTTTGTTTTATACTTACGTCTATTTACTGTGCTGGAGGCAGTGGTGGAATTCAGCCAGTTCGCACCAGTTCGGCAGAACCGGTAGCTAATTTTTTGTGGCCCAGGCCCAGAATGGACTTCCAAAAGTGGCATCCACACAGAGAACCAGTTGTTCACATATTTGAATCCCACCACTGGCTGGAGGCTCCTTCCTTATTATTCCCCACCTACTTCTCAAACATTATTTTCTTTCTACCAAAATTGTTCTGCTGATGTGGGTCCCATCCTCTGGAACATCATGCCCTCCCACCCCCAAGGTGGGATCCACACCCAGCCTTTTGATTTTCTGAAAGGTCTTTAAGACATAGCTGTATATGATGTATAATCTGACATACCTACAGGGCACTATATTGGAGAATTTTTTTGTCATACTTATTGGGCTCTTAGTAGCCAAGCCAACTGATTCTCCTAGCCTTCTCTAGCAAGATTTATTGAAAAGTTCAAATAAAACTAATCCAGATGGAGAGGGTGGGAGCAAAGTGTGCACAGGGAGGAGATGGGGTGTTATCTACCCCATTGGCCTCCTCCAAAATGCTACATCCCTATTGGGGCCCCAATATATAGTCTGTGTGACCATATAATTTATGAAGTATTAATATTTATCTTTACAGCCTTGCAGGAGACCATGATAAGTGACAAGCACATATGTCAGGCTATTTTTGAATCCTTTAAGTGATTCATTGACAACAAGGAATGGTGATGAAATGAACCTCTTTGAAAACAGTGTTATAGCTATCAAATATTTCCAGGAAAACCTATTCTAATTCATTTATTTATATCATGCCTTATTTTTATAAATAATTCAAGGTAGTAAACATATCTACTATTCCTTCCTCCTTCTATTTTGCTGCAAAAAACCCCTTTTAATTTGTCTATATATTCTGACATCCACTGTCAATTTTTTAATGGATATAATAACTAAAACAATACAAATAAATATTACCTGCAGAAAAGATTCTTCTAATTTCACTTCTAAATCTTGTATTTGATTAATGGCTTTATTGACACATGCAGCTGGAGTATTTACAGTAGCACAACTACGTTGTTTGTTGGGAATGCCTATTGAAATATTTTCATTTGTATCTNATAGAAATTGCCCCATGCGAGATTTCAGCCATAAGCTCTTAACAATATTTATTTATATATTGTTAAAAGTTTAATTCCACAGTCCAATACTTTTTTATTTTATGTATTAAATTTGCATGCTGCCCATCTCTCTACCAAGCAACTACCTTCTGTACCTAAAAGCAATTGAAGATTAGGATTTGAATTAAAGCTATGGCATACAAGACAATAAGAATTCCTCCCCCAGTTTTCATTTTAATTAAAATCATAGCCTCAAGTTTGATCATTAGCTGCATACTCATAATAGCTTATACCAGCCTTCCCCAACTTGAGGGTGGAGTTAGGGAATAGTTAGCAGTGATCAGACTGACTAGCAAATTCTGTTGAAGTTCACATATCCAAAGGTTACCCAGATTGGAAAAGCTATGATCATATATGTCAGCTAAGTATGTTCATCGTATGATTGGTCACTAATTATAATACAAAATTATAATTGCCAGGTTCATGCAAGCAACGGTGCTAAATTATCTAGGGAATAATGTCAATATCATTCATTTGCTGATCAATATATTGACTATATCTGTTCACAGAATGCAATTTCTACTTTGTCCCTTCTGAAAGATTTCTTGATTTTCGTAGTCTGATATGGAGGAATCCATTTAGTTAATGGGGTTTGTTTTATTGCCAGGCAGAGATTATAGAAAAAGTCAATAAACAAGGAAGCAGAGTTAGAAATAATGATCTCAAAAGACAAGTCCAACAGAAAAATATGGAGAGTATACAAATGTATCAAAAGAAATTGTTTTACAATAAATGTGTTTTAGAAAATGCCAAGTTATATAAAGTTGAAAAAAAAATAAAACAAATACCTTCTGTTTTTATACAGTTTTCCTTGGAATAGGAAGAAAATAACTGTGCATCAGTCATTGTTATTCATAGCTTTTTGCAATCTAATTTTTAAAAAGAAAGAAATAGATATAAATAAATACAGAAATTCATACTGTGTCAATCATACTTATTCTATTAATGAAAAATCTGCAGCTCATAACCAGGTCCTGAATGCTCCAGGAAGATTCACCCACTTTTCCAAGTTGAAAAGTTGTTTTCAACCACCGAGTATACATGTTTTAGGAAAAATAATGAATTCCCTTAGGAATATTTGTTGAGAGGATAGGGTAATTCCACCCCCAGCCCAGCGTTGTGTTTCTGAAGTGGAAAATAATAATGTTGCCTGTATCTCGAATTAAGGGATTAAAGGCAGTGATGGGATTCAGCTGGTTCGCACCAGTTCGGCAGAACCGGTAGCTACTTTTTTGTTGCCCAGGCCCAGAATGGACTTCTGGAAGCGGCATCCATACAGAGAATATATATGGACAATACAATATAGGAGGTAAAATATTAAATTAAGATGAAACTGTAATAAAATCACCATAATATGGAGCCATAGAATTGCAATTGGATGGATGTTATAATTCAATATTTAAAGCTAACCATCTGTTTCTTCTGTGGCTGCAATGATATCATCCCAGATGCCTTGAAATTTTCTGAGGAGACATTCTTGACCTATATATGTTATAGTTTGTTCTGGAGCATTACAGTCACATTGCAGGCTCTCAGCCATTCCCCACTTAAAGAGCTTTGCCTTAGTTCTGTCCTGTCCTGTCCTGATTCTATTCTGGTGGCTCCATATTTTGGGGGGCAACTCCATTCCTGTAAGTGGTTTTGTTGGATCTGCATGATCTGTCCGGTTGTGGTTATTAACAATTGCCCATCTTAATCGCTATTCTTCATCTAGATTGTAAGTGTGGTGTGTTATCCCAAATTGGTTTCCTAAACTTAGGCCTAAAGGGTAGAATCTAATATTTTATATATTGGAAGACCTCTAGAAATCAATGGCATGCTTATATTATTCTTGGACTGTCTGTTGTTGTCACCTGAGATCAGGAGAGCCCATATTATAAAGAATATGGAGCCATGATAGCGGTGTGGATTTAAGGGTTCCAGATATTATTCTCATTGTATCATTAAGATGAACATCAATCTTGTTGGTATAAATGAGATTAAAATTTGTCTTTCCCAACACACACCTCCTCAGGAATCAAAATTTGTTGTCTTCTGTTATCTTGACTTCATCTAGATGGTGGGGTAGAGAAGGCTTTATGCTCACCATTTCCCAATGATACTTAAGAAAATAACTATTTCCCTTTGCTACTATTAGCATCAGACAACTAGGATGATCCACATGGTAGGGGACAAAATTAACTTCCCCCTCTTATTAGCATTAATAAAAGACAAAGATGCTTTAGCTTTGTTCCCCTATCTCAGTGGTAGCAAACCTATGGCACGGGTGCCAGAGGCGGCACTCAGAGCCCTCTCTGTGGGCACGCGTGCCATCACCCCAGTCCTAGGCCTTCAGATGGGTTTTATAAAACCTTTTCGCTTTAGGCCTCCGCTGCCGTGTACACAAAAAAGGTTCAATCAACCAGTCAATTTCAACTTCTCGCGGGAAAAAAAAAGATCTTGCAAAGTTGGAATTGATTGAACTTTTTAGTCCCACCCAGTCTGCCGTTACCACTGCAGCCACGCCCACCCAATGGACCACACCCACCCGGCACCCGACGATGCATAAGTGCGTTTTGGGTTGCAGTTTGGGCACTCGGTCTCTAAAAGGTTCGCCATCACTGCCCTATCTCAACCCAGGGATTAAAAAGGTGTGCAGTTATGAGAAATGGGTGTATACTTTGGTCCTAGTACCATTTACCACTAGCTGGTCTCAGTTGTATGATCAAGTGATCTTCAGAGCTCCAATTCTTAACTGAAAAAGACAGCTTAGCTTTAAATCAATTTCACTGCCATAAACTGGACTAAAGGTTACATTGTTCCACTTAGTTCAATAGGACTATATAGCATATCCAAGCCATGGGCTTAAAGTATGAAAATACACAGTGAAATACATATTTGTAGTTTTAAAATCTATAATATTTTTAAAAATCTGTTTTATAGATGATCCCCAATGAATGCACATATATTAATTGAGAGACAAATGTTTTATCAGTGCTTTATTTTCACTTTTGAACTTTCAAAGCAAAACAATTTGTATTATAACAGCTATTAGAAAAACTGAAAAGTACATTTTGCCTTTCTTTTTCCTTCCATTCAACTGCATGTGATTCTTGGAGACTGCCTGGACAAATCACTGCAGTTTTCCTGGCAAAGGTTTTTCAAAAATGGTTTTTCAAACATTCCTCCTTCCTAGGGCTGAGGGAAATGACTAGCCCAAGATCTGACTTCAAGTGACTTTGTGCCCAAGGCAGGACTAGAATTCAGTCTCTTAGTTTTTAGCCTGATGCTTTGACCCGATGCTTTAACCAAACTGGTTCTCAAAGTTTCTTTAATTTACAAAAACAATCCCAAAGATACAGTCATGTAAAAAAGAAAGTACACCCTCTTTGAGTTCTATGGTTTTATATATCACGACATAGTAAAAATCATCTGGTCTTACCAGTTCTTAAAAGTAGGTGAATACAACCTCAGATGAACAACGCATGACATATTACACCGTGTCATCATTTATTTTACAAAAAGTCAACATGGAGAAGCCATGTGTGAAAAACTAAGTATACCCTTACTGCTTCCATAGGTATGAAGTGACTAAGTAGCAGCCAAGTGCTGCTAATCAAGTGCCCTTGATCAACTGATTATCAGCAAGTGACACCTTATGATTCAATAGCTTGTAGAACTACCTTTAGCAGCAATAACGTGAAGTAGTCACTTTTGGTATGACTTTATCAGTCTCTCACATCATTGTGGAGGAATTCTGGTCCACTCTTCTTTACATAGCTTCAGTTCATTGAGGTTTGTGGGCTATTGTTTATGCACAGCTCTCTTGAGATCCCACCACAGCATTTCAATCAGATTGAGACCTGGAATTTGACTGGGCCATTGTAATAATCTTTATTTTTTTCTTTTTCAGCCATTCTGTTGTACACTTTCTGGTGTGCTTGGGATCATTGTCCTGTTGCATGACCAAATGTCAGCCGAGCTTTAGCTGTTGGATGGATGGCCTCACATTTGACTATATACTTTGTTATACAGAGTTCATGGTTGACTCAAAGCCTGCAAGGTGCCCAGGTTCTGTAGTTGCAAAACAAGCCCAAATCATCACCCCTCCACCACTGTGCTTCATGGTTTGCATGCTTGTGCTGATATGCTTGTTTTTTGCCAAGCGTGAAACGCTGTAATATGGCCAAACATCTCCACTTTAATCTTATCCGTCCAAAGGATAATGTTCCAGACATCTTGTGATTTATTCAAATGCAACTTTGCAAACCTAAGCTGTGCTGCCATATTCTTTTTAGAGAGAAGAGGCTTTATCCTGGCAATCCTTTCAAATAAACCATACTTGTTCAGTCTTTTTCCAATTGTACTATCGTAAAAATTAACATTAATTGTGCTGACGCCTGTAGAGTCTGAGATGTAACTCTTGGATTTTTTGCAATTTCTCTGAGCATTGCATGGTCTGCCGTTGGGGTGAATTTTATGGGACATCCATTCCTGGGAAGATTGGTAACCGTCTTGAATATTTTCTACTTGTGAATAATCTTCCTCGCTGTAGAAGGGTGGACTTTAAATTTTTTGGAAATGGCCTTATAATCCTTCCCAAATTGATGGGCAGCAACAATTGCTTCACTAAGATCACTGCTATTATCTTTCCTCTTTGGCATTGTGTTAATACACATCTCAATGTTGAAGACCAGCAAACTCCTAAAACTTTGACTTTTAAAGAGGTAGTCACACTTACTGATGATCAACTGATCAAGGGCACTTAATTAGCAACATTTGGCTGTTACTTAGCCTTTTCATACCTATGGAAGCAGTAAGGGTGTACTTAGTTGTTCACACATGGCTTCTCCATTTTGGCTTTCTTTTTGTAAAATAAATGATGGCATGGTGTAATAGGTCATGCATTGTATTTACCTATTTTTAAAAACGGCAAGGTACAGATAATTTTTACTATGTCCTGATACATAAAACCATGGAATTCAAAGAGGACTTTTTCATGACTGTATATAAGGCCCAAAATGATTTGGAACATATAGAATTAACCAGAAGCAAACTTATAAAAGCACTAAGATAAAATTGTTAACAAAGTAATCATGCTTTAGTTAAGAGTATTCTATAATATTACAATAATCCGCTAGTTGCACTTAGAAGAACAGATGGAGACATGCTTATATTCCTTCATTTTTATTTTGTCCTGTCCTCTACTTTTCCCTGCTATAATCAATTGGGGAAAGAATTCTAAATTCAACCAACTAATTGGTCTGAATTCCTCGTGGGTTGGAAGGATATTAAAAATGATTGGTATGCAGCACGTCCATTTTTAAGGCTTTTCAAAAGTACATTCTGGCAATGAAGGCTAAAAGATATATGAAGTAATCCTTCCAAATTATTGTCAGATGCTGTTGCTGTATGGTCCTAACAACAGTGTAATGCTACTTTGATATATTCCTTCAGTTATTGTTTTTTCCACTGCATCTATCTTGCTCCAGGTTGCTTGGCCTGGGGTCCTGATAAGAGCCTGCTATGTTGGAGGTGGCTGGGGAGAGGAGATCTCCATCCCAGGCCACCCATTATCTTGGTTTTTAGCTTTTCTATTTAATTCTTCTAATTTTAATTGTTTTGTAGTACTTTTTTATCATACTGTAAGCCAATCATATTGTATCAGTACTATAGAAATTTAATAAACAAATAAAGAAAATCTGGCTTGAATTACTAAATTAAGCTTTGTTATATGACAGCTCTTCTTGTTTACAGAAGAGCTGATTGACACTTTAATAAATCTAAATGTCTTCCAAAACTTGTAGAGCAAACAGAAATCTATTAGTCCACTGGCCTGTTGTTTAAATATACTGATTAAACATCCATCCATGTTAGTTGGCCTAACCACATATATAAGCATGCTATTCCCTTCTATAGACATACATGCTGATTTGAAGAGTTCAGATGTTTGTGCTTTGGATTTTGGTGCTTTTTGGCCATGCAACAAAGGACCAATCAGAAAATAAGCATCTCTTTTGTATTTCTTATTTAAGTATAGCAGGTAAAATATTTCAACATTTGTAAGAAAATGGGATTTTGCTTATATTTGACAAAAGACAATAAATAAAAATAAAACATACCTAACAAAACATGATAAAACAGAGCATTTTTAAAATGCATTTTCATCTTTTGTTAGAGTATTACCAAATGTTTTACTTTTACTTTAAATTACATCTGTTTATACTTTAACTATTTTATCCTCTATTTTTAAGTAACAAAACAAAAAGTATATAAAATAATTTTGCTTAAGTATATTGTCTTTATTTCAGTATGTCTAATTAGTTTTATTTTATATTCTCTGCCAATAATTAGGAATGTAGCAATGTGGGGTTTTTTTCAAACATATGGAACAATTAAACTAAGTTTCAATGTGCAGTTACTATGGAAACTAGAATATCTTAAAAAGCGTTACAAATTAAAATGCCCTTTCTGCATCCATATGCTTGTTTTTTTTAAAATGTGAATGTTTATAAAAACGTTAAAATTTTAAAATAATAAAAATAAATCTACAGATGACAAAATTACTATGAGCATATTTTCATGCATGTGAAGATTTGTTTGGAAGACAATATAATCAAATAATTCAAAGAAAAATCAAAACCTACAATGGACAAGCTAAACCTTGACAATTTTAAAGCATGTGGACTTCAACTCCCAGAATTCCATAGCCAGCATTGCTGGCTGTGGAATTCTGAGAGTTGAAGTCCACATGTCTTAAAATTGTGAAGGTTGAGAAACACTGAGCTAAAAAGTTAGGATGTTGTAAAAATTAACCAGACAGATCTGTGATATAGTACCATGTATCTGATAGTGTTTCAAGTCCAATTCAATTTGATTTTGAAGGGTGATTTTTAACGTCTACATATACATTATACATACAGTATATAACATTAATTCTCACTAGTAGAAATCACTTTAATGGGATTCATGCAAATTTATAGTAAACTATTATGAAGTACGAAAACCTCCAATTTTGTAAAATAAATGTGCAGAGAACATTTGCTGTCATCCTCTTGCAACTGTTGATTTTCCTCACAAAATCTAATTCCTTCATTCCTGCACGACAGCCGCGATGCACGACCGAAAGCCTAAGCCAGGGGTAGGCAACCTCGGCTTTTTTATGACTCATGGACTTCAACTCCCAGAATTCCTGAGTCAGCTACGCTGACTCAGGAATTCTGGGAGTTGAAGTCCATAAGTCATAAAAGAGCCGAGGTTGCCTACCCCTGACCTAGGCGCACAGAACAACTTCAGTAAGTTTCAAACACCCAGTCACGGCTGCCTTTTTTATTTTTTATCATATCCTACTGACGCCCACGATGACAAGATCTCAACCTATCGAGCCATGGAACCAGAAGGAACTCGACTCCGCCTCCCGGGAAGAATCGGTCCTCGATCTCGCCGATAGAGAGAAAAAAAAAAACAGGAAGTAGGGCGGAGGTCTATGAGCGCAGGACCCCCATACGCATCTCACCCAGCCGGGCTCCTCGTTGGGAACACGTGCGGGCTTCGGCTCATTTCCCGCCACAACAGTCACGTGGGCACCGCGCTCTAGTTCTGGCGGGCCCCGGGCTTCCCCGTCAACCTCTACTAGGCAGGAGCTGCGCTTTAATCCTTGGCCTGCCGCTGCCTCAAGGGAAGCGGGTATCCGGCCTCCCGCCGCCAGCTTCCTGCTCTCGCCGCGATGACACTCACCGGCCATGATTCGCTTTGGCGCTTGTGCTTGAGGGCTCGGCCTTGCCATGCCCTTCCTTCGGCTGCCCGCGCTGCGTACTGTAGTCTGGAGTTCGTTATTCCCGTCTCCAAGACAACAGCGGCTGCATGCCTCGAAGAAGCTCGTGCGGCCCCGCATCAACACTCCCCCCCACCCCGGCCGCCGTTAGCACAGGGGTTCTCAACCTTGGCAACTTTAAGACTTGTGGACTTCAACTCCCAGAATTCCTCAGCCAGCTTTGCTGGCTGAGGAATTCTGGGAGTTGAAGTCCACAAGTCTTAAAGTTGCCAAGGTTGAGAACCCCTGCTTTTAGCACAACCCCAGCCTAGAAGCGGCGGGTGAGGCGGACGGCAGACCTCCTCGCCGTTGCTCTGCTCGAAACAAGCGTGGACCGGGAAGGGCGGCCTGTTTCCTAGCGCTGTTAACTTGGGAGAGGTTTTAAAATAATTAAAAGTTTTCGGATTTTAATAATCTGAATGCCTCTACCGATTATGTTTATACAGAGATCGTTATCTTGTTAAAAGAAAAAAAAATCGTAGAGCTCCCTTTTTAAAAAAAAACTTAGATAAAACCGTTGGAACTGGAATTCTTAGAATCCAGTGTCCACATACTTATATACGTTTCACCAGATGCAAAACAAATTGCCCTACATCTATCTTTCCTGAATTTATCCGTTCCCCTGTTAAAGCCATCTAAGTTAGTGCCTATCTCCATGTTTGTGATAATATATCACAGCCCAAGATAACACTTTGCATTAGAAAATCCCAACTTTGTATATCTAGTCTACATATCCAAAATGCCTATGCATAAGCTACAAACACCATATTTTTTTTGCAACTTCTTCAGCCATATCTGACCAAAATTTATCAAAAAACAGTGTTGTGGCATGGCAAATACAGAAGGAAGTATTAAACCTAATCATAGTAATTAAAATCATTTTCATAACAGTCCTATCTAAACAAAAAAAATTAAAATCCTGAGTCAGTCAATGTTATCCCACTCACTGTCCCTGTCATAAGTAAAAATTTAAATGTAACCCCAGCCAATAAACAGAAAAGAAAAACCATAGATTAAAAATCCTCCAAATCTTGTTACCTGATAGAACCAATTTTAGAAATTATGGGTTTATATTTATAGATCAAAATAGTGCATGATTCTTAACAAAATTCTTAATAAATTCTTAATACATTGTTTACTATGTGCAATTCCAACTTGGAAAAGTAAAGAAAAAAACTTTTTCTTCCTAACTTAAAATTACTTCATTTAACCAGTATTCTAAATCAGTAAAATATTTTGTGCATGAGTCCAAATTTTACTCACTCTAAAGGTATTTTCTTTTTAAAATAACTTTCTATTTTCAGATCCCACATTATATTACTATAATGATATAGTACTATTGTTTGTTCAAATATTGTATAAATAATTTACTAAATACTTCAGTATATTTCATAGAAAAAAATGTTGATTGACTTGTTTCCACGTGTATAAAATTCCTACACATACACACACATTATTTATACCCTCATTATATACATATATTCACACATACTTGATAAGAACTAGAATTCCAGTGTCTCCACTGCAGTTACTTCTAAAAAGCTTTCCTTACTCAGACCTGTTCCTCAAATAACCATACCAGTCCTAGGGATGCATTTAGCTGCTGCCAGGTAATTTCTAATAATAATAACAAATTATATAGAACATGACATAAGCAGAGTCCATTTTCATTATAACAGCTGTCATCTACTTAAGCCATTCTGTACATATATGATCGGTTACTGAAGTTTTCATTCTCCTAGGTGCAGAAAAATAATGGCCTAGTTTATGGTATGCAAAATTTAAAATTACATAAAAATTGCTAAATCACTGAAATTCTTTATATTGGCTCAAGAGGTGGCAGACAATAAGATTTTCTATTTAGAGACACAAATATTGAAACATAACTCAGCAGAATAGTTTTCAGTAGTGTAATAGCAACTCTAGAGTCTTAAAAGAAGTCTTAAATTCAAAAGCAAATAAAGTACATTGTGTCAGTATTACGCTTTCTAAAAACAATATTCCACTGTAGAAAAAATAAGAATAGTGACATTTCCATTAAGAAAATAGCTATAATAACCTAGGTTTGGCATTTGAATTCCATAAATTTGCATTTATCATGTGGCATTTTTGAAGTTATATGATTATCATCTGTTGTTATAACCTGCTCTTCATCAATAAACAGATATCTCCATTTATGATACACACATATCTAAATGAAGGAAAGCTAGATAAAAAACTCATGTAGCATACTGTCCCTTGATAGAAAAACTGTATGATTTTATTTATTTATACTTCATATTTCTTAACTGCTCATCTCCCTCGAAGAGGGGCTCTGGTGTACAATCTCATAAATAAAGTTAAATATTAATATGAATCTTCTATAATATTTTCCAGCTACAGCTATTCTTTCATGCTTCCCACTACTAATTTGGGTCAATTAGATATTGATAAATAATAAAACAGCTTGTAAAAAATTTTCCGGGGGAAAAATAAATAAGACTTTTGTTACAGATAATAATGTTAGTAAAATTTCAAATGTCGATCTATTTTCTTTTCCAAGATACAAGATAGTAATAATACAATCAAAATCTGTTTTATTCATGTCCTACCAAGATACATTGAATTTTATTGCATTCTGTATGATACATATTTCTCAATTTCATATATTGTTTTGAAAATGTCAAAACCCAAAACCTCCTACCTTATCTGGAACTCTGAATGTTGAAGGAAGGATAATTTAGAGTGAAGAAACATTTTGTGCAAGAAATATAAATTTTATATTCATCCAAATGCCTTCTTTGCTCTAAAATGCCTCATCCCCAAAGCTGTTTCTTTTAAAAAAAATAACTTGTCAGAAGTTATTCAAGCAATATGCATATTAGGGAGTACTTTAGTACCCACGGCAGTTTACTGATTAATAGATATCATATGGAATAAAGGGGTTTTATGTGTATGAAAAATATTAGCAAATCATAGTAGATCAGTTATTTCACTGAAAAATAACTTTTTTTATTGGACACTAATATTTATAATCATTGGCTAAACCATCATAGGCAATATGCTTCCTCTCCATCCATACACTAGAAAAATATGGTTTTACCATGTTGAACACAAGAACCTTGAAATATTCTGTGTACTGAAAATAAACTGGAAACAAATAACAGTGGTTAATATATTATCACTCCAGTCATTGGAGCAATGTAATGTTTGTTCTTATGAAGATATCAGAGTAACAAGCACTGAAATATGTATAATAAATAATGATTTATGGAGATGGTAGGCATTTTAAGGGAGAATTATCAGAAAAAAGAATGCCTAAGTACTCCTAATTTAATTTTTGAAAATATCCCTGTCAAATTCAGATGAGGAAAAACTCAAGTCAGAAAGAAAATGGATTCAGTTCTCTTCCCTGTATGTGACACTCCACCATATATTTTTTATTTTATTCCATCTTTAGAATTTTTATAATCAAGACAGTGAATGTTTTTAATACTTCTTCCTCTTCCCATGTTCCCCACAACAATCCTGTGAGGTGAATTGGGCTGAGAGACTGATTAGCCCGAAGTCATTCAACCAGTTTTCATGCCCAAGGCAGGACTAGAACTCACAATCTCCTGGTTTCTAGCCTGGTGCTTTAACCATTAGACCAAACTATTACATTTTAGTATCCATACTATAGATGACTAGATGTTTTACTACAATTATACATAGTGCAAAGCCATTGCATTCTGCAGATTTTAAATACTTGAATTAACTGAAAAACAGACTCTTCCAAATTTTCACATGGCAGAATATAATTTGGCACCCAAAGTTAAATGCAGTGGTAAGAAAGACAGCTAATTTTCAGTTACAGGTCTAATCAGTACAATATTTAATTCTATTTGTCTTAATGGACATCTCAACTTTTGTCCACTGAATGAAAGTTTTTTGATAGCCTTTTACTTAAAGCTTATTCCAAAATGCTTAGTGCATGCAAAACTATCTCAATTTTTATCTTACTCGGGCATGAAGGTAAGTTAAGGATTTATCAGTATGATGGGCATGTCACTGATTCGCACTATACAGTTTTGCAACGGGCACTTGACTGTTAATTTTCTCTTATGAGATAAGATAACCTTTATTGTAATTTTTTACTGTGAGCACACTGGCCCACATTAAAAATGAAATTCTGTTGCCTGCTCTTGAAAGCATATATCTATCCATATATATCCATAACATGCATATACATATGTTATACACACACACAATACACACACACACACACATATATCACTGTCCATTTTGAATACATAGCAATACATAGCAGAAAGAGGAAACTTGAGAGTTCATAAGGTTGATGCTATATGGAACAAAACTGTGACTGAATCTGGATGTTCTGCTTCTGATACCACGAAACCTCTCAGAAGATAACAAGGAAAACTGGTCTTGAAGAGGATATGTAGTGTCCCAGACAATCTTGCAGACTCTGCTCAAGCAGTGCGTATATGCTCTGTCCTGGATAGAAGGAAGTGAATTACCAATAATCTTTTCTGCCGTTCTCACCACCCTCTGCACCGCCTCTCTGAAGCAGTAATACTTCCAAACCAGACAGGATGCTCTTGATTGTCCCTCTGTAGAAAGTGGTAAGGACAGGGGAAGGAAAATATATTTTTCTCGTGTGACACAGAAAATACAGATACTGCTGTGCTTCACCAGTGTCTCATTGTTTTTGTTACACCAGTTCACCAAACCCTCTACTTTCTTGCGATAAGCACCCTCATTGTCATCTTGAATAAGGCCCACTACTGTTGTATTATCTGCATATTCACAATATAGGTTGATGGCAAACTTAGCACAACAGTCATGGACCAACATGACTGTGAACAACAGCGGACTTAGGACATAGCCCTGAGAACTTGTGCTCAAGAAAATGGTGTTAGAAATATTAGTCTCAACTCGCACATATTGGGGCCTATCAATAAGAAATTCAAGAATCCAGTTGCACAAAGGAGTATTAAAGCCTAAAAGACCTAATTTGTCTACTAGATGCCA